GACTTGGGAAGCACTTCTATGGGGTTTTAGAATTGCTTGAAGGTTACTAAGGTTGATTTGCTCTTTTGCATCCATTCCTCTATGATAGAAGTTCCCCAACTACCTGTGTGTCAGTTATTTTTTATTTCTTACTATGACTTGTTTTTAAGGAAAGGAACTTTTGGTTTTTCTTGGGTGATACCCATTGTTCACATTAATAAATGTTAAATGATTCGATATTAATCTTTAAAAATCTAGACTTTGAGGGATGCCTGGGTGGTTCAGTTGACTTCAGCTCAGGTCAGATCTCAGGGTCCTGAGATTGAGCCCTGTGTCTTCCTTGGGCTCCACACTCAGCGCGGAGCCTACCTGAGATTCTTTCCCTCTGTCCTTCCCCGTCCCTCTAAAATTAAATAAATAAATATTTTTAAAAAATCTAAACTTTGGTTATTTATTAAAGAAGGGGCCATCTTTGAAGGAAATGCTCTAGCACATTTAAGATGCATGGTTCTGAAACTTTAGTATGGGCTACAAGGACCTGGAGAAGTTGTAAAACCCACTTTGCTAAGCCCCCAGCTCCATTGTTTCTGATTCAGAATGGGTCAGATGGAGGGTGAGAATCTGCATTTCTAGAAAGATCTCAGCTGTTGCTGCTACTACTGGTCTGAGGACCACACTTTGAGAACTAATTCTTTATTTATATCAATGACAATGAAGCTGAGAGTTGATAATAAAAGAATTAAGATACAATAAGGATAGAATAACAATAAGATAGAATAAGAATAGAATAGAAATCTCCTATTGGCATTTGCAAAAGTAATATTCAGAATATTTAATAAGCTGCTGACCAACATAAAATGCACACTTGTCCTAACCTATAGGACTGAGTCTGTAAACACTGCCTCAGTATTAAACTTGAGAGAGTATATACAACACGTAAAACTGTACATGGATAAACCAAAATGTTGAACTTTTTCCTGAAGTAATTTTTAATAATTCCTAAAATGTAAACCTAAAGTAAGTGTTTTAGAGTTTAGGATACTATATCATGTTTTATCATTTTCTTCTTTATCTCCAAAACAACAATTTAAGCTAGAATTAAAAATATCCGATAATTTCCAGAAAGAAGGAAAGAAAGAAAGAAAGAAAGAAGGAAAGAAAGAAAGAAACAAAGAAACAAAGAAAGAAAGGAGAAAGGGAGAAAGAATTCCTCTGACTTAAGTATTATCCCTCCCCTCCTCAAAAAGGATTACAACTTGTCTAGTAACTACTCTTTCTTTTTCTGATGTTGCCTTTTAATATGATAATGTTCATTTAGTTTTAATGCATTTTCATATATGGTAAAATTACATGATACCGCAAGCTAACAAAGGCTACCATGTTCCTTTTGAGATCACATGTGTTCATGAAGACTAATTGATTATGGGAACTAGATGCGTGTGCTAACAATAAACTTAGTTTTTAAAAATCATATTAAGACACCTCATATTAAAGAGAGGTAGAGTAAAAACATACAATGTGTTAGTGCTAACGAGATAAAATGATAGATGGGGTGTCTTTCCCCAAATTTTCAGTGAGCTTCATAAGATAAAAGTGATTTAGCAATTAGCCTCTTACTTAGATAAGTAAACAAATGTGTGTATGTGTGTGTGTGTGTGTGTGTGTGTGTGTTTAAAAGAATGAGACTCCTCTCCCACTGTGGGCCATGTTACAATTATTTTTGTCTGCTTTGGGACTTCAGTTGCATTTAAACTTGAAGCCATTTTGAAATGCTAAAGATGAAATTTGAAGATGAGAAAGTCTGACTGGCTCCTGATAACTGGGATGTGGTGATGACATTTAAAGTGGCATCATTCTATTCTACAGGAATGTGTGCGCATATCTTTAATGTCAGCACTTGCCTCCGGGATGACACTTGTTAGATTTCATGCTGTCATGTGCTATTTCAAGGTCGGTAATAGTGTTGTTTATTATACAGTACCCTAATATCACACTCATTATTTAAAAGGAAGCTATCAAAGCCCGGTTTCTATTGTTCTGCTCACGTCTGTGTGTACTATGATCACCTGATTCTGTTTCGGTTTTAAAATACGGAATGCTGAAATGTGCCATAATGAAGTAGTACATTTATTTAACCTTGAAACTATTCTTGTGAAAAATAATGGTTTGCTCGTGTCTGATGGTTTCCAAGTTTCTAGGAATGACTTGATTCAGAAACTGGCTAATAATAGGAAACAACCCTGGGGGGAATATAGGGTGGTATGAGGCATCCAGTGCCTTGTACCCAAAGGAAAAGCAGCTGAGGTCCAAAGGAACATCTCTGGCCAACTGCTGTTTTTTCAAAATCTCCCAGCAGGACTCCAGCTTTGTCTATAGTTACAGAAATATTAGATGGGGCTGAATAATTTATTCAATCCAGGAAGTGGTCAAAAGGGATAAAGAGAGCTCACTGGGTGTACTTCCTTCACGCAAGAAACACACCTTCATACAGCCCACCTGTATCAAGATGGATCAAAAGTTAGGGGGTCAATATGCATAGACTAGAAAAATCTAAACCAGGAAAACCCAAGAGCTGTCCAATAAATTCTACAAGCATTCAGTGAAAGTCTATGACAAAGGAAATGTGAAATATCCAGGAAGGGCTATCTGTTTACATTCAATTTCCAACTTGTATGCCCACATCCTGTATGCCCCGCATCATCGTAATCACCTCCAGGGCTGTCAACCCCTCTTTACTTTATATTTCCCCAAATTTTACACATCCAGATCTCTCTGTAGCACTTTGGATCTTCATTTATTTTTCAAATTTAGGGAAGGCTTAGTTACCTTTTTTTTTTTTTTTAGTCAGATGATTTTTAATTAAAATAATTATTATTATCAAGATGCTTTGGGACTATTCTTCAATTAACAAGTGAGTAAGCATTTTTTATCATGTTTTTTAATGGATCAGGTGTCTCACTTGGGAGCCCACCAACTATTGCTCATTCTGTCACCCCCTTTTCCTCATGACTTCCTGAGCCATTTCACTGAAATGAGTCAGCTCATTTCACTGAGCCTGAGTTGGAAGCATTGGCTTAGCTGTACCTGTGCAGAAAATATTTTGGGGGTGTAAGTACTTTCTTCACTTGCAGAGCATTTTCTCGTTTTTTGGGTTTTTTTTTTGTTTGTTTGTTTTTTGGAGTAAATTTCTCAATATCCAAAATAGCGAGATTCACCTGGTCCTATGGTGTGTTAAAACAAAATCTTGTCTGATTTGAAATCCTACTGAGAATGAAGATTTGTTAGGAACCCTAAAATGTGTATTTTGGTGGTGAAATAGAGATAGCACTGTTAATCTAAATCTTCTCTTTTAAAATGTATTTTATACAAAACATTCACTTTTATGTCAAGGGTAGGAATGCTGACAGAAGAGGAGAACTTCACTTTAAGGGAAGTAGGTAGCCAGCTGCCTAGAGAAGATGACTGTTTATATTGTGGATTTAATTGAATATAGCATATTGCCCTTAAAAGATATGGCCAAAGGACTTGATTTATTAAAAAGGAGAAGTAGGCAGAAAAAAAGCCGGATGCAACTCTGTCCATCAAAGTGGCATTCTTTATGTAGAATCAACCCAATCCAATCTATCACTGGTTCTTCAATTAACTATAGCAAGTCTTAACTTCACATTTTGGCTCATACTATGTCTTTTGATGTTACATGTTGTTGGAAAACTTGTAACTGATGCATGAGTGTCTTCTCTGTTCAAACTGTTTCTAATATAATTTCCATGTCCAGTATTCTTTCAATAACGGTACCTAGTCCTTTGAGAACACTTGTCAGAATGATGCAAATGAAGGTGTGGATTATTTATTTATCTATTTATAAAAAGATATTTTACTGTAACCCTCCCTACCACAGTTGCTGTGACAAAGAGGAGAGTGTGGTTATTTTTTTTTTTCTGGCAAAATGGAGCCAGAACATGGAGTGGAACATGGAGTTTAAATAAGTCGTGGGAAGTGGTAGATAGTCTAACCGATACAGTCCTCCACTGAGATTTCTTCTTTGTGAGGAGACTTTTTAAGGGTTTTGAGCTGATCTAAGAATCTGATCTAAGAATCTTCCTGCCCTCTCCCATTCCACCCCAAGCCACCAAGTCTTCCTTTTTTCCAATAAACACCAATAAACATAGAGTTCTTTAAAATGATTTTCTATCTCAATTATATGTGTCTCTAGTAACAACAACAAAATCGTGTTAAGAAAATGTAAACTTGGGAAAATGCATACTGCTGTTGAAAAGAAAATCCTGGAAATCACAGATAAAAGAATAGTATTAGTGTATTGGCCCCATTAAATAGTCAAAACACACTGGAGCCTCCCAGAGCATGAAAGACCCACATGTTTAAGGAATTCCACTCCCTTGAATTTCTCAGGCTATCTCTGTAGGAAGCAAGTAGAAAGAAAGAATCAGGAAATTGCCCAACTTCTGTGTGCTTCATCCCCTAAGCAATGCATTTTCTTTTGAACTCTCGAGCTTCAGTCTTAGTCTCTGGGGTGTCCACTTCCCTTATTATATGTGAACTTTTCCTTGTAGACACCTGTTGGGGATCGTATTAATAAGACACACTGTAGAAAGAGAAAACACATTTCCCAAGCCAAGAAGGTGAGAGCTACTCTTTTTTTGTGGGGCCCTTGTTAATCTTTGGGAGCCCATCATCTTCTGTAGCAAAACAAAAGCAATATGAGTATAGATTCTTACCTTTTTTTTCCACTCCACCAAGAAAACGTTGTCAATGTGTTAGTGTTCAGCTACATTTCTCTTAAGACAAACAATAGAATATTTCTTCCTTCGGTCCAGAGGTTTCAGAACGTGATTCCCGTTGCTTTCTAGCATCATTCTAAATAGCACCCTACTGTTCGGCCACCGCCAGAATTAGCTTGAATGGTACCTATTATTGAAAGGGAGTCTGTATTTGCAGTAATACAGAGAATGCCAGTTTAGAAATGAGCCTGATTGCATGGTTCATTTTGTTCTCCTTTGTAGAGCCAGGCTGCGGCCCACTACAAAGGCACGAAACATGCCAAGAAGCTCAAAGCACTGGAAGCCATGAAAAATAAGCAGAAATCTGTAACTGCCAAGGACAGCGCAAAGACTACCTTCACCTCCATCACTACCAATACCATCAATACCAGCTCTGACAAAACAGGTTAAGCGATGATCTTTGTTGTTGTCATCATCGTTGTTTGGGGGTCCCTTCCCTTGTCTAGCCCCATGTCTGTTTCCTTATGTTCCTGCCACATCGGTTCATGCTTGATCCATCTTTCTGCGTAATGGTAATTGTTTCCCCTCCTTTTTCCAATACCCTTAAGCAATTGATTAAGATAATCACTAGTTATATTGCAGATTTTACATTCGAAATGGTCCTGGGGCTGCTTTAGGGGGACACGAAAGCATAAAGGCACTTGAAGCCATGTTTCTGAGAAGCAAACCTTTTTACTATGTATCGTTTCTGTCTTGTATGCAGCACCTTAGCCTATAACCGCGTGGCAGATTTGATTTAACTGTGAGTACAATGCAACGTATGCCAAATGAGTCGAGAAGGCCCCGATAAGGGCATTATTACTTACAGGACTTATTCTCATAAATCCCAACACTGCATTGTTTTAAGTAGTGGCTGTGTGATTCTGGGCTTGTTATGGCTGGGTAACCTTCCCTCTGCTACCCAGGTAAGTGTTATTGATACCAATTATTCTTTTTAACAGAGTCTTCACAGGGAAATAATGGCCTCTGAATGGCCTCTTGGGATAGTTCCTGCAAGCAACCAGTTTATTCATGGCGGGAGAAGCCAGTGGGGTTTCCCTAAGCTGACATTTTTAAATATAAGACCGCTGGTCCTCAATATTTACATAAAAAGAAGTTCTGTGTGATTCATAGATGTATCAATAATACATCAATTTATAGAACACAATGGCTGGTACCTGTCGGTTGTTTTCTAATCCCTACAAAGGACGATGATCAAGAAGCATTTATGTCACCATCAATAGTAATATCTTAACTAGAAGAGAATCTTCCAGCTGTAACTGATGAAAATGTAAAATGCTACAGTGAACAAACAGACCAGATTAAAGCAACTTTATTACACATGGTGGCATCGATTAGACACATATATGCTCCTCAAAGGTTCTGGAGAGATGTGTGCTCCTCTGTGAATCTGTAAGGGATAATGATGTTTGCTTTGAGTTCCCATGACACATGTCATGTCCTTTACCTAAGTATTATTGGTAGACGCATTGTGCCCCCTACTCCCTGAGAACCCCATGTACTCTCTGAGGCTGAGTGCACCTGTCATCTCTGTACCCTGGAACCTGGTCTAACATGGTGTAGGTACTGAGTAAAACATCTGTTGAATGGCTGCATTTTCTCTCACTCCTTTGGTTCTCTGATTCATCCAGTTTTCTGTCACAACATACTAAAGGGGGGGAAAAAAGCTCTTTTCATGTTCAGTTCTTTGGTATCCAGAGCAAGAGCTGGATTATGCCATCTTATTAATTCAGATGTAAAACCTTATTAAGAAAGCATTAATCTTTTCTCTATTAACTGAAAATTCACTGCCTTATTTTGGGGGCTGTAGGGGAATGAAGAGTAATGAAGCAGGTGAGTGTAATTTCTGCTCCTAGATATCAGGGTACAAATTGGGATCCCTAAAGCCGTATTGCCATAAAGAATTTTTTTTTTTTTTTTTGCAAAGAGATAGGAAGTAGGAAGGGCAAAAGAAATTAGTTTGATATAAAGAGATGGGATTTAATGTAAAGTTTTTGCTTGTCCCCAGTCTTTTCTGTTCTTAGCTATTTTTATCAGTTGCTATTTGGGTTATCTTGTCTCTCCCCCCCTTTTTTTTTCTTGACTCCTCTTTAAAATGAAAAAAAAAAACTGTTAAATTGAGGATTCTCTTCATTTAAAAATATATTTGTACATAAAAATATATTTGTACTGCTAACTTGGGTTAGGAAAGGCTCCCATGTATATTGTCTCTGGATTATTTTTATTAAGAATGATTTTGTAAAATTAGTAAAATGTGATTTAATGCGTCTGTGTCTTTTATGTGTGGATAAGTCCATGAATCACAAAACAACCTTGCATATTATGCAGTAGGGTTAAATTTTTATTGTTAAAAAATACATGATCTGTGATTCTAGAGTCTTATCTCTCTCTCCCTCTGCCTCCAAGTATTTAACTATTCTAGGAAACAAGAATAATAAATGAGTTATGAATTTATGAATACATAACTCCATCCCTCAATCTTAGACACTGAAATGGAAAGGTTGGCAGTCATCAAGCTTCTGTCCTTTTAGAAGTTAAATGGAAACAGGTTTTGGATTGGGCCATGGAGAGAACCTACATTAAAAAAAAAAAAAAAATAGACTCCCACCAGAGAGGTCAGCACTTACCTAATGGTTGGAATGGTGTTGAAATGGTGAAGGACCCTTTCAAGATGAAGCTAAGAAAATTTCAGAAGGACAGAAAGGGTAGCAAAGTCTGTAAAGTTTGTACAAATATCCTGAAGCCAAAGGAAGAAAGTTATGAGCGTCAGAATTACCTTGCCTTCCTAATTCATGGGAACTTATTCCCAGGAAAAAAGTCATATAGGTTGAAAGACTGATAATTTCAGCACACTTATCAGATGTTTTACACTGAATTCTGTCCTTAAATTGGGATTTCAACAAATCTACCTATGAGAGGTAGCTCAAGACAGCTCCCATCATTTTATAGCTTTCTTACCATTTGTATTGCAATATAAGTTAGTTGCACCTATGTTGAAAATTGGAGTTTTCTTAAAACTGTTACTTGTCCTTTATTACTGTCTGCTCCTTCATATTGATTAGGAAGAAATACAACCCTGAAAACAAGATGGGTCTCTGAGCCAGTTTCCTAGAATAATCAAATACTTGGAGGCAGAAGGAGAGAGAGATAAGACTCTAGAATCAAAGATCATGTATTTTTTAAGAATAAAAAATTTAACCCTACTGCTTAATATGCAGGGTTGTTTTGTGTTTTGTGGGCTTATCCATACAAAGAAGATATAGATGCATAAAATCACATTTTACTAATTTTACAAAATCATTTTTAATAAAAATAATCCAGCTGTATAAAAAAACCAATTGCATTTAAAAATGCGAAGTATACAATGATTTGATAGATGAGCACTTTAAATAAGGGTGGACAACAATAGTGAAAAAGATAAGAAATAGTGTGGACTTTAATTAGAACATTGATTTGGAGGTTTTTCTGGGATTCTCTAAAATACAAGAAGTAGAATAGTCATAATAAGCAAAGTTTCAGTGCAGAGCTGCTTGATAAAAATAATTTTGACAGACAATTTCTCTTAAATTCCTAAATCATATATTATGGGTTTTAACTGGTGCCTTAGGGTAACAAATATGTCTACATGACCTGTGGGGTAAGTTCTTATTCACGAACTATAATTTTGGGATTTTTTTTTTTTTTTTTTTTTTTTTTTTTGTCATAGCTTATGTCAGTCTGCCTGCTGGCATGGTGAGCAAAAGATAATATTCAGTTATCAACCACCAACTGCTCACAGAAAGCCTACTTCCCCTACCTCTAGGCAAGATGAGACTCCCTAACATTAAAGCATAATTTTATTTCTCATAATCTCATGAAGAGTGTTAGGTTAGTGAATTAACACAAAGAAAAATTTCCAGACAAAAATAATATGTTTAAAAATATATCAAACACTTAAAATTGTTGGTACATAAGAATGGTTGCTAATCATTAGAGATAATTCAAAGAGCACACTTTTCCAAATGTGGCCAAAATGATTATGTCTCATCTAGCAAGTTTTTTCTTTTTTAATGTCAGGTTTTTTAATACAGAAAAAGTAATGAGAAAAATTAAGAAGTATTCCCAAAGTAACTTAGCAAATGTAGTTCATTCTTCTTCCTGTGAAATGACAAATTCACAAACGTAGAATTAATTCCCAGGCTTGGTCATCTTCTGATCTTTCCTTAGTTTTCCATTTTGGGTAATCTTGTTCATTCCCATGGTCTATGAGTTAAGTTAGGTTAGTTTATACTGCAGTCATAACCAACCTCCAAATCCTAGCGGCTTTTACAACTAATTATTTCTCACTCACATTACATATTAGCTGTGTGTTTTGTTGTTGTTGTTGTTGTTGTTTCCAGATTAATTTAACTTTAGGCTAAGCTAATGAAGGAGTCACTAGTTGGGCATTGCCAAGTCTATAGTAGGGGGAGAAAAAAAGATTGTGAATCAATAGGCTCTCAAAGCTTCTTAGTGGGAGAGACATACAATATTCTTCTCACTTTACTTTGTCAAATCTCATGATCAAGATTGATTATCATGGGCAGAGAAGAATAATCTCCTCCAGGAAGGAGAAGCCAAAATTAGTGAGAAGTAACACAGCATTCCTTTGTGCCTTCAACTATCATTGAAGACATCTATCCCTAGATGTCTCAGCATACATTTCTAGGCTAAAACCTGACCTGACTGTCCATAACTTATTCAATGACTTATCAGTCATTCCCTGGGATGGCTTGTCAACACCTGTTTTACAGGTTCACAAGGGGGAAAAAAAAAAAAAAAAAAAAAAGCTTTTTTCTCCATCTCCAACTTTGTCTCATCCTGTCTTCCTAGTTTCATTTTTAGTCCTGCAGTTCACAGAGTTGAAACATCCTAGGTGTCTCTGCCTCTTCTGTCTCAGTCCATGTCTATTCAGGTGCTGGAATCCACTCCCCTCTCATCCTTTACTTGTTCCGTCTTGGTTACTACCCTCATCCTGGCCTCGTTTGAGTCTGTGCCTTGCCCATACAATTGCCCTAATCTCCGTGCAAGTCCAGGTGTCTCCTCTTGTCCCTTGACAACCATATCCTTCATTCTCCTGTCCATTTATACTATACAGGGAAGATCATAACACCTACCCGTTCAGAAACCTTCAATGTACCTTCGTGGCTTAGCCTCATGGTCCTCTGTGGTTTGACCACAACCTACCTTTACAAACTTCTCTTCTGTTGCTCACCTGCATTTTTCTGCACCATAAACACACCTTATTTTTCTGTCTCACCTTCATTTTCTGTCTTATTGTTCTTCCAAATTTCTCCTTAAAAGTATATCACTTTTCTTCTCTCTGCATCTCAAATCCCATAAGAATCCATATCTATCATATTCTTC